TCAAATCTTGCAAACCTGCAATGAGTTTGCGGGGTTACGGTCTTTGCTATGTCACCAGCGTATAATAATAACAATCTGCTTTTTGCTGGAACGATTAAGCCAAGGGTATGGCTTCCTACCCGTGAGGAAACACAAGTCTGCTCCCCCCTCCCCTCGCGGTTGGCAGACTTCCTTTCAAAAAGGTTGCTTAAAGTGGTGCTTAAAAGATAATTCTAGCTTGCTAAATTTAGGGTGTGGAAAACACCCAAAATGAGACTATCCCATGGGTAATTATGCAAGATGTTAATATGTGCAGTAAGGGGAGCATGCCCTACCCTCCTGAAGCCTCCCTCCATCTCTTTGTCTTGACACACAATATGTAATTTTGCAGGGTTAAAAGTTAACTGAGACAGCGAAGAACTCTTTACCACTGTCACCGCACTTTAAATGTAAAATGATTTCATGCCCGAGTTACTCGCAGAGCACCCTGAAGTCAGAGCAGCTCTTCAGCATTTATCAGCAAGTCCTCTGCTTACCTGCAGATTTCTGGTAATCCTCAGTTCACCAACCAAAACAAGCTGTGTATGAAAGTGGATAGAAGGGGCCGGAGCTGTGGTGTAGTGGGAAAAGCTGCTGCCTGCAGTGCTGGCATCTCATATGGGCACCGGTTCAAGTCCCAGCTGCTCCACTTCCAATCCCACTCTCTGCTATGGCCTGGGAAAGCAGTAGAAGATGGCCCAAGTCCTTGGGCCCCTGCACCTGCGTGGGAGACCTGGAAGAAGCTCCTGGCTCCTGGCTTCGGATTGGCGCAGCTCTAGCTGTTGTGATCATCTGGGGAGTGAACCAGTGGATGGAGGAAGATCTTTCTCTCCCCGCCCCCCGCCCCTTTGCCTCTGCCTCTCTGCAACTCTACCTTTCAAATAAATAAGTAAATCTTAAAAAATATAAAGTGGATAGAAGGGTACTGGTGTCCGAAGCTTGCTTTGGAATGTGTTTTTAAAAACCCCACACTGGTTGAGGGTAGTATGTGGTACGTAGAGCAAAATGTTCATGGCAGGATTCAGGTGGCTTGTTCTCCAGCACTTCATTTGCAAAGGGTGAAGATGGCGGATCCCAAGATTAGTGGGGACCCGCCCTGTAACTCTTAGGTAGCACCAGTGGGGGCAGCTGTGCAGCACCTGGACAAATGGGGCCCTGGACCTTTCAGGCTCCGCATATCAGACCAGGCACCAGGGATAATAGACAAGGGGTCTTTTGTGTCCAGAGGAGAGAGTTTAATGGTTCAATGGTGTGTGCAGGGTGGGTGTTTAGCCTAGTGGTTAGAACATCTACGCCCTATATCAGAGTGCCTGGGTTTGATTCCCAGCTCTAGCGCCTGACTCTAGTGTTCCTGCAGACCCTAGACGGCAGTAATGAGGCTCAGATAGTGTGATCTCACCTGCCCCTGGAATTTGGGCAAGACTTCAGCAGAAGATTCACCTGTCAGGGAGTGACAGTCACAGGCACTCAAGATGCCCAGAGAGACAGAAACGAGTGAAGGGTCAGAAGGCAGAGGTTTGGTCTTATCTTGGGGGAATGCTACAGCAGAATTAGGGAGAAATAAAGAGCCCTGGGAGAACTGGACAAGCCTTCTCTGATGGAAGAGAAGGGGTACAGGGGCTTAATGCTTCTGCCTCTCTGGCAGTCAGGGAGTTTCAGATTCTGCCCAGTGGGAGCTCATTCTCATTCCAGTGACCCATTTTGCAAAGCATGGTTCCACATAAGAGTTTTATAAAAGTAATACACTGGTAGTGCCAGTTCAAGTCCCAGCTGTTCCACTTCCTACCCAGTTCCCTGCTAATATGCCCGGGAAGGCAGTGGATGATGGCCTGAGTACGAGGGACCCTGCACATATGTGGGAGACCTGGAAGAAACTCTTGGCTTTGGATTGTCCTAGTTCCTGCCATCTCAGCCATTTGGAGAGTTAATAGTGGATGGAGGACCTCTCTGTCTCTGTAACTTGCCTTTCAAATAAATGAATAAATCTAAAAAAAAGAAAGAAAGAAAAAAAGGTAATCCACTGTGGAGTTAAACATCCCTAGATAATGCAAGCACACAAATCATTTGGCAATTACTTGGGCTTTGTCTTCCTGGACACAGCAGCCCAGGGGTTAACAGCACCTGGGGCTTTCTAGTGTCTTCACCAAGATCTGCTTCCAAAGCTGCGGGGGCGGCAAGGCCAAGCTTGAACTTAGATCTGGCCTTGGTTTGTGCCTTGTTCCTGATTGTTATTATCTTTGTCATTGAGGGTGAGCCTTGTGCTTTTTCAACATGTTTTCCCCTAATCTAAAACTCAGAGAGGTATATTCAGAAGAAAAAACAAAATGTCTTTGGTGGGAGAAACTGCAGGTTAAGTGCTCATTCTCTTTGCAGTGACTGAAGGGTGTTTGGCTGCCACAGATAAGATCACTGAGGTTGGAAGCCTGGTGTGTAGGATGCTTACCCAGCTTCCTTCAGTTGTTTACCCTTTGAAACACGCTCAGGATGCAAATTCTTCAATAATGAGAATAGTGCCAGGGTTGAGGTAGCTGCCTATGAACACTCGGAGAAGGTAACTTTCTCTGCTCTCAGATGTCCTCAGGTTAAAGTCCGATCTAGAGTAATTTCTTGTTGAACATTTTATCAAGGCTCAGGTTCCTGGCCCCACACCGAACTTACCTAACCCCCAGCTTTCCTCCACAACGACGTACTAAATTGTTAGCAGCGTCTGACCCCAAACAGACTGGTGCTTCTGTGGCTTTGCCTATGCTCTCTGGAGACTCGGGTATTACATCCTGGCAGGTGCACTTTGCTGTGGCTTCCACGCGGGTTGCACAGAGGTCTCTGCGTCATGCAAATGTGCTTCCTCCGAGCATAGCACTTGTGTTGCTTCCTCCAAAGCGAGGCTCATTCTGTCTCCAAGAGCCTGGCAGAGTGCCCGGCCCTAGTAGCAGCACTCTAGAAACCTTGAACACTTAAGACTATGAATTTGGACTTGTGAGTTTAAGCTTTGTGTATGCTGCTGCCAAATCATCTCTGATCAGCTAAACAATATCTAGTTTTCTACCCTGGAAATTGTACAAGGCACTTTTCCTTTTGTCTATTTTGATTTTGTGGATTTGAAACTTGTGAATAGGTGTTATATTGCTAACATTGTCATCAGCTAACATTGAGGGTTTTCCTTAAGAGGAAGGAGAGAGGGCTGATATGGCACAGCAGGTTGAGCCTCTCTTGGGACACCAGCATCCTATGTCAGAGAGCTGGTTTGAATCCCCACTGCTCCACTTCCAATCCTGCTCCTTGCTAACGTGCCTGGGAAGGCAGCAGAAGATGGTCCAACTACTTGGGTATCTCCCACCTGCCACCCCAGTGGGAGATATGGAGTTCTACACTCCTGGCTTCAGTCTGGTCCAGCCACAGATGTTGAAGCCATCTGGGGAGTGACCCAGTGGACAGAAGATGCCTCTCCCTATGTTACTCAGCCTTTCAAATGAATTTAAAGAAAGAGGGTGGGGAGATAGTGAATCAAGAGTGGAAAGCAACTGATTACTTGTGTTCCCCACTGGATCCCAGCAAAACTTCCACCATGAGGGTGCAGCAGCTTTGGGGATGGTTTCTGTGTTGCTTAGGAAATGCATTTTACTCTCCACACTAAGGCAAGCTGACAGTGCTAGATGTGGTGAACCCAATAAAGACCAGGCTCCATAGGCTTAGCAGCAAGAGGTGGGGTGTTGGGGTTTTAAGGAGCAGGGATTATCCCTTAGAGTGTGAAGTGGGTAGCAAGAACAAGGGCACCCTTGGGCAGAAGACCCTACCAAGGACAAGTGCCAGACTTTGGTTGCCCAGCTACACCTTGAAGCTGTCCAGTATGAGTGTAACCTGTGCAGATAACCTCAATGCTGATGACACAATCATGGGGGTGGGAGGGTCTGGCACCTCTGGATACCTGGGTATCTGTTACACATCTGACTGATTGGCACACTATGCAGGATCTTCAAATAACTCACAGAAAATGCATGAGAAAACTGTGTGGATTTACATTTTTTTAAACCAAAATAAATGTATTGATCCCACTTTTTCCATGGACCTTTTGAAGGATCCTTGCATGCTGTGTTTAGTACCCCAAATGGCACGGACGCTGCTGTGTTCCATCAAGCTGGGGGGGACCATGACTCACCTACTCTATACTTTTGATGACCAAGGAACTCTGGATTAACGCTTTGGATTAACAAAGTTGGAGGGCACGAATGCAAGGTCTACGTGCACATGAGGCCATGAAGTGTTACCATGCAAGTTGGGAGTAACAGCACTTGTCAGCTGGCAGGTAAGAGAGATCAAGCCTCTAAGGTAGCAAACCTGGACTTTTCCAGTTGTGTTTGGTGGTGTTAAGGGGATCAAAAATTACTTGAGTTACAAGCAGAATTCTATTAGTTTTTAGTTGATGGAATGCCATGGTTGGAACTATCAACTTTCCTTATCAATATTCCAGAAATCAACTAAACAACACTGGCTCAGTCAGGTCTTCATGTACATTGGTGTAATTCCTAATCTAGGCCACACAGGTAATGATATAATATCAGTTTGTCTTTAAGGATTAGAAACATGTGTCTATTTTGGCTTTGGATGTGGGGAAGAAAGAAGAGGCAGTCAGAAGGCTTTGTTCCCTCTACTGGCAGAAAAGGCCAAGAGGAGGCAGGTGTTTAGCCTGGCGGTTAAGATGCCTGTGTCCTGCAACCGAGTGCCTGGGTTCAGGTCCCAGTTCCAGCTCCTGACTCCAGCATTCCTGCTAATGCAGCCCTTGGGAGGCAGTTGGGATGGCCCAAGAGATCGGTTTCCTGCTACCCATGTGAGAGTCCTGGGTTTGAGTTCCCAGCTCTTGGCTTCAGCCCTGGGCCAGCCCTAGCAATGACAGTTATTTGGAGAACAAATCAGCGGATGGGAGTTCCCTGCTTCTCAAATACACACAGAAATAAGAAAAGGGCCAACCAGCAAAGACCACAAGGTTAGAGAAACGTCTTATTAAATTTAATAGTCTTTAAATACATAAACTTTCTCCCACCCCTCCCCAACCTTGTTCTGGGGCATCCACGAGTAAAGCCTGAGATGGTGAGGAGGAAGTAGAAAAATACTATTTACAGGGGTAAGGAGGCGTCCATGCCTCCACGGCCCGCAGACACCCCCAGCCCCCAGCCCCTTTTGTTCCTTTAGAAAAAGCCCCTGGGAATCCGTTTGAGTGTAGACTTCCCCTAGAGGGGCACTCGGGCCCCACACAGAACAGAAACTCTGAGAGGAGAAGGGAGAGAACTGATAGCACCTCAGATCCTGGCAGGGGAAGGAGTCTCCCCTGCCAGCCTGTAGTCGGCCAGCCGGCAGGCCAGCCTTTGTTCCAATAGTCCCATGTAAACATCGACTTTTTCCTCCTGTCGCCCCGCTCTTCCCTGTTCAACATAGAGCCTCCTGTGCCCCCAGGGCGGGTCCTTGGTGCCTTGTTTTTCCTTCCTTCCTTCCTTCCTTTCCACCCTTCCTGTGGAAGGAGTCAGGAGAGGATGGGGGACCAGAGGTTGGTCAGGGCAGCTTGTCAGCCTAAGGGGAACCTTGGGCAGAGACGCTCCATGTTCCTGGCTAGACAGGAGCAGACTCCTTCCCCCAGAGCAGGGACCAGGCAGGTAGGTCGTCCAGTACCAGGAAACAGCGGCCTTGGTGGTGACAGCATCAGGGCTGAGAGGAGGGAAGAAGGCTTCAGGAGGTGGAAAGGTGGGGTGTTCTTGGCAGTGGCCTTGCTCTCCCTGAAGGCGGAAGACCAGCCCTGGCCCATCCTCTCCGCAGGTGAGCATGACCACTCCCAACAGTCTTTCTCATTGTAGCTGTGCAGGGGGACCAGGCACTCCCAAGGCAAGAAGTCTTCTCCAGGTCTGGGTGCGGAAGCAGCCCTCACACCAGCTCATCCAGGAGGATCCCAATGCTCTGAGAGGCCTCCGAGGGCCCGGCAATGGGCTTGTTGCACATCGGGCACACACAGCGCACTTCCAGCCATTTCACCAGACACCTGTGAACAAAAGAACCGCTGTTAGCTCTAAGAGGACAGCCCAGGCTGCTGCTGCCTCTCACAGACCCCAGCTGCTGCTCCAGACAAGGACATCCCTATCCCCACCCAGCCTGCCCCCTCTGCCTTGCAGGCGGGATCTAGCGGATGGCTGGCAGGGAGCTGGGTGGCAGCGAGGGGAAGTTCTAGAAGGTGCTCCCTGACTGCTTCTCCTCTCAAGGGAACCCCGGACGCACCCCCCACGTACTTGCGGTGAAAGGCGTGTTGGCACGGGAGCACGCCCAGCTCATCCTTCCCCTTGAAGTCTTCCAGGCACACCGCACAGGTCTGCTGTGGAAGGAAGCACTGAATGTGAGAGGAAATCGGGGAAGCTCCTCACTCCTCCATCCCCGACTTCCACGCTCTCAGCCCCAGCCCAGCAAAGTCCTGGCCCAGTCTCCTCTGTCAGCCTGAGGACCTTCAGCCATATTGCACCATACTGCACTGGCGGGATGGCAGCCATTACAGACAAGATGAAGTTATATTTTTAGGGGCCAGTGCTGTGGCGTAGTAGGCTAAGCCTCTGCCTGTGGTGCCGGCTTCCCATAGGAGCACTGGTTCACGTCCTGGCTACTCTACTTTGGATCTAGCTCTCTGCTATGGCCTAGGAAAGCAGTCCTGTCCCCTGGTTTCAGCCTGCCCATCCCAAGCCATTGTGGCTGTTGGGGTCAACAACCAGAGAATCGAAGATCCCTGTCTCTGCTTTTCTAATAAAATGAAAATAAATTTAAAATATGTTCCCTGAAAATAGAATTACAAGTTTACCTTGATGTAAAAATTCTTGAAATCCATTTATACGAGGGATCTTCCAAAAGTTCATGAAAAATATATTATGAAAAAATTGTGCAAGGACCTCAAAAACAATTTTGCACCTAAATAAACTAATTTTTAAATTGCATCTTGGATTAACTTTTTGAAATACCCTCACCTAGGAGGACTATCCCCTATCTGAAATGCTTCCAATCCAAAGCATATCAGATAACAGAATTTTTAGATTTGGAATATTTCGTAGAGTTTACCTGTTAAGTACACACTTTGTAAACCTGAAATCCAAAAACCCAAAAACACTATGGGCATCGTGTTGGCACGACATTTCCAGTTTTGGATTCTTAGACTGGGATGCTCAACCCCATCTGGACTGCTGGGATGAGACCCTTTTATTTGGCCCAAGGAGATACGAAGGACTGAAAATCTTCCTGCAGGAGCTGGGACTGAGAGCTGGAGGAAAAGTGCTACTGGCCCTCCTGCTGGCTGTCACAGCACACTTACCCCATATAACTGTAACTTCTTGGCATCACCTTTCAGCACCACCTGGGAAGAAAAGGAGAGGTATGATGTCAGCAGGAGCCACAGGGACCAGGAGGGATCAGCCAATGAAAGGCGTCCCAGCCCTTCACAGGAGAGCCTGCCTCTCTCCCTCCAAGGAGGAGGGCAGTGGTCAGCTTGGGGCAGGAGCTAGACTCATGGCTGCCTAGGCTTGTCCTTGCCCTGCCCCTATCAGAGAAAGTAGTAGAGGAAGAAGTCTTGGAGGGAAAGATGTGGCACTTTACCTCCTTGTATCCGTATCGTTCACTCTGTGCCTGGTTCCGGAGTTTGCTGGGGGAGAGAGAGAGAAAGGAGTGAGAGCATGTTACTATGCCTCTGCCCAAACAGAGCACTCAAAGCAGGAGAAGCTGACTGGCTGCTCACCAAAAGACTGCTGTTTGTGCTTACACAGGCACACGGAACTAGGTAACCACCAAAGCTCTTCCTTAGGCTAGGAGTCTCGAAACTTCCTGGCAGGTGCCATGCCCAGACTGCATACTCCTCTGGCAGAACACCTCCCATAGCTCCTTTACTCTCTCTGTCCTCTCCTAGTAGGCAAATTCCTCCAGATACCCAAACTATATGACCCAACGGTGCACTTACTGAGTGTACAGAAAAGCTAGACATTCTTCAGGAGATATTGCCATTAAGCCAGGGTAGCTGGCTATGTAAGTCTCTTGACCCTGGGGAATTTTCCACCAGGAGAATCTAAGTATTCTGGACCCATAGCACACTCTCCTTTCCCAGCCCCAAACACCACAAACGATGCCTTCTTTGTTTCCTTCTTTTCGTTTTAGGCTGGTATCCTGCATACGGCCAAACGCTCAACAGTCAAAACACAGCGTGTTGCTACTGACAGCAGTAGCAAAATAGCTCCTCGGCGTTTGCTGTGTGTTGCCTGGACGCTGACACAGTCACATAGGTTCTCACGGAAGCCAAGCAATTTGAAGAGCGAGATACGTTCCCTTTCACAGATGAAGCAAACGAAGCTCAACAAAGTAACCTGCCCAAACTCCACAGAGCTCACTGGCGGAGTCCAGGTTTGAGCCGGAGTCTTTGTGCTTCCAGAGTTCAAGCCTCTTACCACACAGTATGACCTGCTCCACCAACGAGGCGGAGCACATCATAGGGCAGGTGTGTTGTCTGGTCTTGGGAAGCACCCTACATTTCATCAAGTCTGTGACTTGCAGAGGAGCCAGGAATATAACCACACACTGATTTTGTGCTTCGTTTTCAAGGAGGCAAACTTTTGTTATGAATTCTGCAAGCAGTTTTAGATGGCCACCTATGTGTGGGCTCTAACAGGGTACTGGATGGGGCTTTCTCTCTCAGTGATTTCTTTTTCTTTTTTTAGATTTTATTTATAAATTTGAGAGGTAGAGTTACAGTGAGAGAGAGAGACAGAGAGAGAGAGAGAGGTCTTTCATCTGCTGGTTCACTCCCCAAATGGCCACAACAACCGGAGCCGCGCCGATCCGAAGCCAGGAGCTTCCTCCGGGTCTCCCACGCAGATGCAGGGGCCCAAGCACTTGGGCCATCTTCCACTGCTTTCCCAGGCCATAGCAGAGAGCTGGATCGGAAGAGGAGCAGCCGGGACTAGAACCGGTGCCGATATGGGATGCCGGCACCACAGGGAGAGGCTTAACCTACTGTGCCACAGCACCAGCCCCTCTCTCAGTGATTTTAACACAGGCCTGTGTTATGGCACAGAACCATCAGGAACTCAGCAAGTTAGGGTGCTGGTGGCCAACTATGGTGTGAGGGTCTAATCCAGCTCACTACCCATTTATATATAGTCCACAAGCTAAGAATGGCTTGTCTGGCTGATGTTGTGGTACGGCAGGCTAAGCCACTGCCTGCGATGCCGGCATACCATATGACCACCAGTTCGAGTTCCAGCAGCTCCACGTGTGATCTAGCTCCCTGCTAACGTGCCTAGGACAGCAGTGAGAGATGGCCCAAGTACCTGGGCCCTCGATGTCCACATGGGAGATTCAAATGAAGTTCCAGGCTCCTGGATTTGGACTGGCCCAGTCCTGACTGCTGTGGCCTTTTTGGGAGTGAAAAAGCAGATAGAAGATCTCTCTGTCTCTTCTTTTCTGTAACTCTGCTTTTCTTTTCTTTCTTTCTTTTTTTAAGATTTTATTTATTTATTCGAGGGGAAGAGTTACAGACAGTGAGAGGGAGAGACAGAGAGAAAGGTCTTCCATCAGCTAGTTTATTCCCCAAATGGCCGCAATGGCCAGAGCTGGGCTGATCCGAAGCCAGGAGCCAGGAGCCAGGAACTTCTTCCAGGGCTCCCACATGGATGCAGGGGCCCAAGCACTTGGGCCATCTTCCACTGCTTCCCCAGGCCACAGCAGAGAGCTGGACTGGAAGAGGAGCAGCCAGGACTAGAACCGGCACCCATATGGGATACCAGCACCACAGGCGGAAGATTAACCTACTATACCACAGCACCAGCCCCAAACTCTTTTTTTTTTTTTTTAAAGATTTATTTACTTACTTGAAAAGCAAAAAAGAAGAAGAAAAATAATATCACGTGATGTATGCAAATTACAGAGAATTCAAGTTTCAGTGTCCATGATGTCTCTGGTACCCAGCAGAATTCACAGTTCACATACTAACTGTGACTGCTTTCGCACTCCAAGGAAGAGTTTGCTAGTTGTGATCAGACCTCATGAGCTGCAAAGCCCTCTACAGAAAAAGGACTGAAAACAGAAGCTGAAGTCGCAGAGAGTGTCCAGCCCAGGCACATGGCACCAGGGCTGAGACCGCTCTCTGGGTGGTGGAGAAGGCAGAAGGTAGGGACAGATCCAAGCCCACAGTGTGGGGCAAGGCAGATAAGAGCAAGCTGCCAGCTTCCTCTGTCCTTCCTGACGGGAAGTCAGGTGGCCCGGCCTGGCTGGTGGTTCCTGGCACCTCTAGGGAAACTGCAGTCCAAGTGGATTCCTGCCATGGCTTGGGGCTGGGGTTGCACACCCAGTGTCCCCTTCTCGTCTCTCTCTGCTCGCAGCAGGGCTGGGCTGAAGGCCTAACTGGGGCTCCATCCTTAATTTGCAGAGAACTGCTTTGTCTAAAGAAGAGTTTCCCACATACGCACGCCTCTTTCCTAACCAGCAAGTGAGAGAGATGCAGGGAAGGATGCAGCGAAGCTGACGTGAGCTGCTGCTACCTGACACGGAGCGGAGCTGAGGAGGGAGCATTCCCATCACTAGGGAGCCAGACACTGCAGCTGCGCTACCAGGTCCATGCAGAGCAAGGCGGGAAGTGGCAAAGAGACTGGGTGTGTAACTCTGCCCGGGGCACCACTGTGGATGCTCACAGGCCTTATCTGCCAGGTGGCCACCCTTAGGTGGTGTGTGGCGTCTTCTGCTTGCTTTACCTGGGTGCCTAGTGCGCCCTCCTCTCCCACACTCACCCCTGCTGTCCAGCTGGCTCCCCTGAATGGTGCCACTCAGAGGTGGGGGGCCTCTCTTCTGCCAAGGGCCATCTAGATATTCATGACATCATTTGCGGGCCATGCAAAATTATGAACTTAAAAATTAGCCTGCTATAGATGTTTTGACTTTCAAGTCGCAGCACCAGACCAGGTGATTCTGCAGGCCTGGTACAACCCCTGGGCTGGATGTTCCCTATCTGTGCTCTAACTCAAGGGTCTTCTAGAATTTCTCAGAAGAAAGGGCTCCGGAGCTGCCCCATCAGCCTGCATACGGATTTCAGCTCAGGAAGGAGTCGATCACAATGAAATGGGGCCGAAAGGTTGCAAGGAAAGCAGAGCTTATAAAGCAAAACCCCAGGGCCATCCCAGCTGAAGCTGGAGTGCCAACAACTTTGGACAGGTGGCCTTCTCAGCTGTTGGGTGACCAAAACAACTAAAAATACCTCCACTTCCATGAAGCCAGTGGGCTCTCCCGTCCCTCTTTTCCCTTTTAGGACAAACAATGCAGCCAGATCCCGAAAATAATTGTCCCTTTCCTGTCTATTTGTACTTCCCTGGCCCCTCCATCCTGTGTAGGGCAGAAGTCAGCTCTGCTGGGGCCGGGGAGGGGGGAGGGAGAAGCGAGGGCACGCCGGGGGCGGTGGAGGCTGGTGTTGGCGGATGAGATCACCAGGTCAGGAGCAGAAGTCAGGGGCCTATTTTGGCTGAGGAGGAAACCGAGAAGCAGGGAGAGGAAGTGGTGTCTGCAGTTGTGTGTCCTTCTATATATAGACACACACAGGCTGCCAGTGGGCGTCTGGATCCACAGAACTTCACGTCAACTGGCTGCAGGCAGGCTGCAGGACAGAGGGTGGGTGACAAAGGAGCCGATTCCCACAGAAGGGACAGGTGGCCCCAAGTGGCTCCTAGCTTTCACCATCGTGTGCTGACTGCTATGTTCTCTCATTCCAGCCAGACAGACACACCAGCAACGCACAGCCTGCCCTAGGCAGGAAACCCCTTGCCTAGCTCGACAGAGGTGGCCACGGCAGCTTTTCCAACTTCCACTCAAGGATTGAGACCCACGGCAGGCAACGTCTGGGAGGCGCCTGCAAAACTAGCCCGTCATTACCAGGTTGGCGCGCCAGTGGGTCTCCCTGGATGGTGAACATGGGCAAATCCTAAACCATCAGGGCATTGGTTTCTTCCTTTATAACCTGGAGGGTGGGTCTGAGGAATAACGGAGCTAGATGATTTTAAAAATGCTGACCACAATGCCTGACATACAGGAGAAAAGCTAAGGTCATCCCTATTAGTGGCACAATCAAGGAAGGAATCCTGTTCACCAACTTCCTAGCCCAGAGCGATTTTCTCTTGATTTTCTTTGCTTGACCACTTTTGCCATTTGGGTGTGTGTTTGTGCGCCCGTGTGTGTAAGGGACCAGAGTTAGCTTTGCAAACCCCTCCAGCCTCATCATGAATCTGTCTTTGGAGTCTCTGCCTTCAGCCTCCGCAGAATCAAGCCAAGTGCTTGGTATGGCGATGGAGGAAAAGGGTCACAGGGTAGAAGGGTTTGAAGGAGAAAACTCAGATGTAAGGAGAAGTGAGAGGACGGAGAGGGGAGGGGAGAGGAGACACCAGACAGCTACCCTCACCTCCACTTCACAGTCAGATGCAGACATCACATTCAGTTGTACAACCCCTGTCTTCTCTGCACAGGCTTCAGTGAAAAAAAAATCCGAGTTCCATGGGGGTCCGGGGCCATGGTTCACTTGGTTAATCCTCCGTCTGCACAGCCGGCATCCCATATGGGCACCGGGTTCTAGTCCCGGTTGCTCCTCTTCCAGTCCAGCTCTCTGCTGTGGCCCAGGAGGGCAATGGAGGATGGCCCAAGTGCTTGGGCCCCCGCACCCTCATGGGAGACCAGGAAGAAGCACCTGGCTCCTGGCTTCGGATCAGCGCAGCTCCAGCCATAGCGGCCATTTGGGGGTAAACCAAAGGAAGGAAGACCTGTCTCTCTCTCTCTCACTAACTATCTGTCAAATAAATTTTAAAAAAATTATTAAAAAAATCCAAGTTACAAGGGACCTGTTTTGAGAAATTCTGAGGAAGAAGAGGTCCAAGGCGCGACATCCCCAGGGAGTAGGACTTCAGGCAAAGCCCGAGGGGACAGCCTTTTCTTAGAGGGCCTCTCCCCGGCTGATAGAATACAGAGCACTTCTGCCCTGGCCTTCAGGTTGAAGCACTCAAACCCAGCAGGGCTTCTCAGGAGGGAACCTGCGCTCCTTAGCCTTAATCTCCTTAAAGGATTTGGTCAGACACCAGTCTGGACTCTGGCAGATGTCTCCCTGGGTATTAGCAGTGTGTGGGGGAGGCAGGGGCAGGCGGAGCCAACTGTGACAATGGCTCCAAGTATAACTAGCATGTTGGTCTGGTCAGGGATGTCCAACACTCTGCCGGCTGCAGGACAGTCCCACACAAGGAGGAACTGCCCACAACAACAGCACGCCCCAGGCAGGCACACAATTACTTTGATTTCACTCAAAATGCCAACCACGCCTGACAATTTTTTTTAATGTTATGTAGAAAACAGCCACCAATTCCCACACCCTTCAACAGGAGCATGGCCAACCCTGCCAAGTTCAAGTCCTTCCCTGGATCCTTAAGCAATTAAGAATAAGTGACATATTTAGAATTTCTTTCTGCACTCTCAAAAATAAGAGCTTACAAGGCAGAATAAACACACAGCTCTCCAGACACCAGCTTGCTAACATTAGCATCTGGAGGACTGACAACAGGATTTCCCAGGAGGGCAAAGGAACATGCCACTGGTAACAGATGCCCCCTACTCCTGGTCTCCCAGAGGGCATGGGTGGGCAGTGCAACAGGACAATTAAGGGACCACCAACTTTCCTACTCAAATAGTAATTCTAGGCTACTGGAGACGAGCCAGCCAAGAAGTGGGATGCAGCCCAAGCCCTGATGACCCTGGGCCACCTCGATGGACTGATGCAAATAGAAACACCAGTCTTCAGGGGCCCCTAGGAAGGGGCCATTTCCCCAAAGCAGTGGCTCCAGCGTGCAGCCAACGACCCTGTTGTGGGACTGTCACTCAGCTCACTCTGCCCCTGCCCTCTTCCCCTGTGACTTCCACATCCCAGTCAGCCAGTGAACCACTCACCTGATAAAATAGCAGCAGAATATGAGGCTGAGCATGAAGACAAAGATGCCTGTGCCGAAGATGACCATGTAGATGTTGAGAGGAAGGTCTTGGAAACTGATGGGTGGCATTGAGCAGGACTTGTTGGTGCTAACCAGTCCCAAGCCACAGAAACACCCTGCAAAACAAGAGAAATAAGATTAGAAGTTGGAAATCTACCATCCTGGCTGATGGCACTGTATATGTGTAAGCAAGGATGGTAAAAAGAGAGAGCAGGCCCAGGACACCAAACCCTGCCTCAGTGATGACAGCTTATATCCCAGCTCTAACACTGGCTAGCAAGCAAAGTGATCGGGGTGAAATTTAACCAACCTATCCAGTGGAATACTACAACAGCCTCCCATCTAAGGGACCAGGGGTTCCAGCAACGGGCAGAAAATGAAGAATTCTAGTTCCATCAGGTAGAAGCCCACACAGTACAGTGACAAAATGAAGAGTCCTTTTTTAAATGGGAGAAAATGTATTATTTGAGTTCAGGTTCCACCTCTCCCTAGCTAGCTAGTGACCTTTAAGAGTTACTGCTCTCAGCTTCACTTTGTCGTATGAAAATAAGCAAAATACAGAGGAGGGAACATGATGGTGGAAGAAATATGCTTTGTAAATTACAAAGTATAATTGCAAAGGTCATTTGTCATTATTAAGCCACCTGCTCTAGAAGACAAGCTGTGCCAGGACTAGAATAGAAATTGTTCACTCCAAGACCCGGTCAGCATTCCAAAGAGTGGCAGCAGATGGGGGTGGGGAACTGCAGCCTCCTCCCTCACTGGTCACCTTCCGCCTTTCTACCCAAACCTTGCTACGGTGCCCATGACATCCCAGGGAGCTTATTAGAAATGCAGACTCTCCCTGGCCCTCTCTCCAGATGAATGAATCAGAATCTACATTTTAACAAGATCCTCAGTTGATTCCCATGTACACTCAAGTTGAGAAGCACTGGTGAGCCATTTCTCAAAGTGGCTCCATGGGGGCTGGGCATTGTGGCACAGCGGGTTAAGCCACTGCTTGCAGAGCTGGCATCTGAGATGGGAGCCCCAATTTGAGTCCCTGCTGCTCTGCTTCCAATCCAGCTCCCTGCTGGTGTTCCTGGGAAGCAGTGGAGGATGGTTAAAGTACTTGAGCTTCTGCCATTCACATGGGAGACAGGGATGGAGTTCCTGGCTCCTGCCTCCTGGCTTTGGCCTGGCCCAGCCCTAGCTGTTCCAGCCATTTGGGGAGTGAATTAGCAGATGGAAGATTCTCTTTCTCTTTCTGTAGCTCTGCCCTTCAAATCAATCAATCAACAAACAAATAAATAATAAAAAGTGGCTATGTACTTCCCTTTTCACGTAAGTCGTGATAAATCCAGACTGGTCACCAACTATAGTAGTCACCCCTCACTTGCCAGTATTTGATGTGAAGCCTAAGTTCTGGGCAAAGAGACAAAGACATTCACTGGAAAGATTTGCAGCCATGCCATCCCAGGAAATCTAGAATGTGGTAGCCATGTTGTAGTGAGAAAGAGAACAGCCCGAAAGAGACCGTGGCTGAGATAGCTGGAGAGAGAGAATGAGAAGAATCTTTGGGGCCAGCACTGTGGAGTAACGGGTAAAGCCGCCGCCTGCAGCGCTGGCATCCCATATGGGTGCTGGTTCGAGTCCTGGTTCCTCCACTTCCAATTCAGCTCTCTGCTATGGCCTGGGAAAGCAGCAGAAGATGGCCCAAGTCCTTGAGCCCCCGCGCCCACGTGGGAGACCTGGAGGAAGCTCCTGGCTCCTGGGTTCAGACTGGCGCAGCTCCCGCCGTTGCGGCCATCCTGGGAGTGAACCAGCGGATGGAAGACCTCTCTGTCTGTCTTTCTCTGTGGCTCTTTCAAATAAGTAAATCTTTAAAAAAAAGATTTTTGGCTAATGAGAAAGTGACAGTTTACCATACATACACCTGTAAAACTTGAGCACATGCTACCAATTTAATCTTTTAAAAAAATACATGTTAAGATTTTATTTCATTTTATTTAAGAGCCAGAGTTACAGACAGGGAGAGGGTCAGACTGAGAGAAGTCTTCCATCCACTGGTTCATTCCCCAAATGGCCACAATGGCTGGAGCCAAGCCAATCTGAAGCTAGGAATCAGGAGCTTCTTCTGGGTCTTCCACGTGAGTGCAGGGGCCCAAGGACTTGGGCCATCTTCTACTAATTTCCCAGGCCATAGCAGAGAGCTGGATCAGAAGTGGAGCAGCCAGGACATGAACCAGCTTAGTCTACTACAGTGCCTGTCCCCCAATTTAATCTTTCTGATGTCACAGTGAGAATACTACTTCCCCCCACCAATGGGAAACTCTCAATCACTAAATAATCTTCACCCAGCTAAGAATGCCTCACTCCAAAAGCCTGTGCACTCAAGCCTGGGTCTAGGTACTCCCTGCCATCTCTGTTGGGAGCCATTATCCATCAACAGACTCAGAACTCTGCTGTGTTTACTCCTGCCACCATGGCTCAGCAGAAAGTGGCGCCAAAGCCTGGAAGTCAACTTTTAAAGATTTATTTTATTTATTTGAAAGATAGAGTTATAGAGAGAGGCAGAGAGAGAGAGAGAGAGAGGTCTTCCATCTGCTGGTTCACTCCCCAGATGGCCACAATGGCCGGAGCTGCGCCCATCAGAAGCCAGGAGCCAGGAGCTTCTTCCGGGTCTCCCACGCAGGTGTAGGGGCCCAAGGACTTGGGCCATCTTCCACTGCTTTCCCAGGCCATAGCAGAGAGCTGGATCAGAAGAGGAGCAGCTGGGACAAGAACCGGTGCCCATATGGGATGCCAGCACTTCTAGGCCAGGGCTTTAACCCGCTGGAAGTCAACTTTCACATCATACATCTCATTTCTCTTCACGCCTTGCATCTACCTGGTGACTATTCAATGAGCCTCCATTCAAACCTCTCAGACCACACACACCTCTCTACTTCACGCACTGATTACATATCATTGTATCCCCATTGATGTCCTGTATCTAGTTCCTTCTCCTCCCACTTAACCCGCACACTGGACACATTCTCCATTCAGTTTATCACATATTTTTCAGTCCTCCCAGACATGCACCCTGTCCCCTTGCAGCTTCACACCCCACATTCTCCAACACCACACCATGTGGGTCAGTCTGCATGCCACTGTCCACCCAGCTTTCCCTGCCTGGAACTCCCTCTCCCTTTCTGCCACTGGCCAAGCCTGGCCTTTTGTAAGAGTCCAAAGACCCCCTTGCTTCTTTCCCTTAAGCCTACAGCTCTCAAACCTGCACCGGTTGTTCTGGCTCTTGCTTACTCAGTACCTGTCTTTACATTGCCAGTGCTCCTAGCATCGACTTAACTTGAACTCAAACATGCATTAAGCATTGATTATACAATCGCATGATGACAGACGAGATAAACAAGCAGAGAGGAATGACTGGGTGATCTTACCACGAAGGGAAGCAGACAAAAAGGTTTGCATCACGGGAAGTGAGGTACCCTAGAAGAGACGCGTGTATAATCCTGAAGACAAAGCTAAGAGCCACTAAGTACGCTCCACCCTTTAAACCAGCCTGAATCCTCCAAGGTCTGAGGACAAGGACTCCGACTTTTATATTCTCGGTGTCTCGCCTCGCCTACTGTTTTGGCTTGTTTTCAATAACTAGTTAATAGATAAATAACTCCCCGTTTTCTCAAAACAACCTGGTCCTCTGGACAAAAGCTCCTATTTCACAGTAAGGAGGCTGAGGTTTGGGAAAACTGCCCAGAAGCTGCCCTCAGCGAATGGGTCACCAGTCAAGCAACAAGCTTTGCTGAGAGCCTGCTTTATGCACCGACCTAGACACGGGGGAAAACAGAAAGTAAAAGAAGTGCTTGTTCCGAAAGACTTTCTGATGGATTCGAAATTAAAGAATAATGACCTGCTAAACTGTGCTGTGTCCAACAGGAAGCCCTTGCTTCTAGGCTCCTGCGGCAGTTAGAAAAGTAGTTTTCAGTTGGGGGGAGTAGAGGGCATGTTATGTCACAGAGGGTGAAGCTACCCATGGTGATGCCCATTTCCTAGGAGTACCAGTTCGTTCAAGTTCTGGCTGCTCCATCTCTGATCCATCTCCCTGCTAATGCACCCAGGAAAGAAGCGGAAGATGGCCCAAGTGCTTGAGCCCCTGCATCCACGGGGGAGACCTGAATGGAATTCCAGGCTCTTGGCTTTGACCTGGCCCAGCCCCAGCTGCTGTGGCCATTTAAGGAGTAAACCAGTAGATGGAAGAGCTCTCTCTCTTCTCTCTCTCTCTCTCTACCTCTCTTCTCTTTAACTCTGCCTTTCAAATAAGATTAAAAAAAAAAAATTTAAGTAGTTTTTGCCAGCCTTCCCCACTCAAACAATTACTCTCTTTGCAAACCAAAGAAGATCCATTTTTCCATGAAGACACACTGGTGGACTGGCTAGAAAGGGAAGACCTTCAGTGTACACCAGGAAAGGGTCTCATCACCTCCTTCCCAAAACTAAATTCTCAACACCAAAGAGGCCCTCGGCCCCACTGTCTCTGCATCTCCTGCCTCAGCAACATCTGATGCCACAGGGTGGCAGAACCCCTTATCTGCCTAGGGTCTCCCGTGCACCTTCTATGAGCTGGATCTTGGCATCTTCCTGGTCTCAGAGAAACTTTCTCGATGTCTGGTTCTGCACCTGCAGTGCAGTGGCAGTGGGCCCTGCAGAGGGGATGTGTGTGTACTTTGCAGGCGCACTGGGTCCTGCAGGCATCAGCTCACTCTATCTCTACCATCTTGCCCTGACAGAAGCTTTCCCTGGGACTCCAAGATTAAGCCAGCCTGGGACTTTATGGGATAAAAAGCTTCGCGAGTTAAGTGGAGGTATCCACTTACAGGTTGAGTATCCCTTTTCTAAGATGCTGGAGTGTTTCAGATGTTTGAATTTTTTCCCTCCAGACCTGGGACTATTTGCATATACACGATGAGACCAAACTCTCAGCAGGAAATTCATTCATGCTCCATCTACACAGAGCCTGCAGGCAATTTTACACACAGGGTTTCAGTGTTGTGCACGCACTGAAGTCTTATGGTGTGGAATTTTCCACCTGTGGCATCAGGCTGGATGCTCACAGAGTTGCAGGATTTTAGAGCATTTGGAGTTCTGTGATGTTCAACTTGTGGTATCAAAGAGAAATGGAAACAGGGTGTACTGTTCAAAAGCTGACAGTGGAGTAAGTTTTCCCTGTAAAGCAGTTAACTAAGGGGGGCGGCCTCACATGTTTTCTGAACGGAGAGGGACAAAATCTCCCCAGCTAAAGAGACAAAGCAGCCAGCCTGGAAGGGGTGCGCAGCAGTGTGGCAGACAGCAGCCCCTCAGTCCTGCTCCCCTCGCCCGGGAGTCTGTGTCCCATTGTCTTGCCAACCTATGAAAGCCTTGACATCAGAACTCTCCCTCAGCTGGCGGGCTGGGAGCAGAGATGACGTCAGAGAAGGGCTGGCCAAGGAAGACCAGTGGATCTGGGAACTGCTGCTCCTTCCCAGCCAACGGGAATCTTTCCCAGGCTGGGGTGCACCCTGCCGTCCCCCACCCCCAGCCCACTCCCCCGCCCCCCCTCCCACATCGCCCGCCTATCGCACACAGCTTGGGTCGTTTTCAGGAAATTAGATCCGACCAGCAAAAGGAGGAAGAAGGGGGGATGGGACACTCACACACATGCTGCCCAAACCTTGCCCTAAAACAAAAGCCTCTTGAAATAATTAATCCAAGATCTGGCAGGAGTCGACTCTCCAGAATGGATTTTTTTTTTTTTTTTACCCTGTAACTAGCCAGGCTGCCTCACTCAAACAGAAGGCCAGCTGCTTCCCCGCCTCCCCCCCCCCCCCCCGCAACTACCCAAGTGCTGGAGAAACGCACTCCAGGACCCTTGAGGGAGGGGCGGGCGGGTCCGGAGTGAGCCGCAGGAACCAGACCCAACCCCAACCCGTGTCACCTGGACCACTAAAAGGCCTCAGGTGAGATGCACTAACTCAGCAGCACTGCCCAGGCCTGGGGGCGGGGGGAGGCGGAGCGGAAGCGCGGGCACCCACGGGGCTCAGGAGCACACCCAAGCCCCCCGCCAGGGCGGGGGTCCCCGGGAAAACCCGCGGCCCGGTGGCGAAAACTTCCACGGGGTACCAGGGGGGGGGTTCCGGGCAGGGGGTTTCCAGGGGGGGGCCGGAAAAAGGCAAAAAGAGGGGGGCCGGGGGGGCAACCGGCGCGGGCCGGGGCCGCCACCCCCGCTCCGGGAACTGTTTAGAGCAGCCTGCAAAGTTTCGGGCCGGGAACTTGAGCTCCCTCTAGGAGGAGATCCCAGCCCCGGCGCGGACCTCATTCGCCGACAACCACAACAAAGAACCGAGTTGGAACGCACAAAGGCAAGGGGCAGCGGGTGTCGGAGCAGAGCCGGCCACACAAAGGCAAGCAGCCCCCCGGCTCCCACGCCCCCCGAGCTCCGCCGCCCAGCCCGGAGACCCCCAGAAGGCGCCGGCGTTCCCCCCTCAACGTTGTCTCTGAGCCCGCGCTGCACACAGCAGCGCCGGGACCCCCTCCGCCGGGCGTCCAGTCGCACCGGGACCCCTGGCTGCCCCCAGCTCGGGACTCACCGTTACACCACTGGAATGGGTGCATCAAGGAGGTGTCCGCGAGTTCCCTCGGGCAAGCGGGCGCGGGCGGCGGGGGACGCGCGAGTCTGCAGCAAGGGGCCGGTGCGGGGCTCGCGGCCGCCTCTCCCAGGAGCGGGGGGCTGCGGCGAGGCTGGGGTCCGGAGTCCCAAAGCGGGAAGAGGAGGCAACGGACCGCAGGGAAGTCCGCGGAGGGGACTCACGGAGGGCTCCGGGCTGCAGTGGCCGGGCTGGGGCGGGGGGTGCGATGCGGAGCGCCGCGGGCAGGAGCTCCTGGGCGGCTCGGCGCGGAGGTGAGCGGGCAGCTGGGATCCCGAAAGTGACACCCGGCCGCGCACGCCCCCGTCCTTTTACAGTCCCCCCACCCCAACCCCGGGAAACTCCGCCCCCTGCCCGTCAGCCGCCCTCCGGCCAATGGGAGCCTTGCTCCTGCCCGCCCCCCACCCCGGGCTGTGTTTCCGCGGGGCCCGCTCCCGCCCCCCTGCTGGGGGAGTCTGTCGGCGCTCTGGGCGCTTCCCGGCTCCCGGACCCGGGAAACTCCCGCTGACGCTGCGGGAAGCGCGCCGCTCTAGGGCTTCCCGGTCTTCCGCCCGCAGACCCGTCCGCACCTGACGTTCTTCTAGCTCCGGCAGCAGCCGAGTCCCGGGGGGCGGCTGGCGCGCTCCCACGCTCTCCAGGTCTGGAACCGGCTCTGTCCGAGGTCCTTGTCCGGGCTAGCCCGGCGTGCGGACGAGGGGAGGCGGGCCCAGGGCTGGAGGTGGCCGGCTTGCCCCAAGCAGAAGCAACCCAGTGCCTCGGGGCAGGCCCTGCAGCACCTGTCACCTGTTTAGGGATTGACCAGATCTGAAGTCCCCGGCCGAGATTCTGTTTTTTTCTTTTCTTCTTTTTTAACGTGATGTTGGATCGTTTGTTTCATTTTTGTCTTAAGGCTTTTTCTTTTCTTTTTTTTCCCCAGAAAGCACTGGCCTTGAGCTTCTCCATGGGGAACACACTCACCCAGAAGCTGTATCGGCGTCCTCGGAGCCAGCAGGTCCTGCTCTGGGGACTCGGAGTGCGGGAGGAGACCCTAATCGAGCACGCAAGCCCATGCAAGCACATGCAAACAAATGCATACAAGCACATGCAAGAATGCCACGGTTCTCCTGCGAAACGCCTATCTCTCTCTTCCATCTGTTAACTGAAGATAAAGGCTTTATCTGACTCCAGGAAATCCGGAACACCCCAATGAGGCTATGCACACGCCTGCCTTGCTATTTAAAGTATCAGATGGTCACGGAGAAGGCTGGAATAAATGCAGCCCTCCCTCCCAGGACGTCCCTCAGATATCAAAATCTCTCCGTGCGCAAGTCCCTTCTGTAAATGACATTTGCCTGAAACCTGTGCAACCCTCCCCAATGCTTTAAATCATCTGGAGTTTTCTAAGCAAACGTAATACAATGGAAATGCTATGTAAATAGTTGTCATTTGTACTGTTTATGGAATGACAAGAAAAAAAAGTCTGCATGTTCAGCACACACGTTTTTTCCCCAGATTATTGCAGTACCCTCCCCTCCCCACACACGCACCCACAAACATGGAGGCCAGCAGACTAAGTTAGCACTTAATTATTCTTCTTTGTGAGCTAGTCTGCAGTGGCATCGGCGTGTACGGACCCAACTCATCTATTAGTTGGACAGTTGTAAAAGCCTCCTAACCGGCCTCTCTGATTCTGTATCTTAGACTTCAAAGCCCACAGGAATGTCTTTGATGGTAGAGATGTAACATAGGCAGATTCCCCAGGCCTTGAGCCCAGAGTTTATGATCCAGTAGTGAGAGGATGGGCCCCAGAAATCTTCACTTTAATATACGTTGTCCCCCCCCCCCCCGCCCAGTTCTCCCACAGTTATTGAGAGAAATAATGCTCTGATTTGATTTACTCTCAGGTCCATTCCGCAGGCCAGCTCCACGGTTATTTCTCTAAAACCTAAGTCTGAATATTAATTCCCTTTGCTTAATAACTTTTACTGGTCTCTGGTGCCGACAGAAGAGAGCTCCAGTCTACAGGGTGGCATTCAAGGCCTATGAGTCTAGCCTATGCTTGTCTTCCTGCATCTCCTCTCCCCACACTATTCATCAGCCCACAAGTGTTTGACCATGGTCACTGTTCCTTGAGCACTGTGTATTCCCTCCTGACTGTCATTTCCTACATGCTGTTCCTTCCGTTTGGAGTGTCCATCTTCCTTCTGTGCCTGACAAATATTTTGCAAGAGGCAGATTAAAGACCCACCTCTTCTGTGGTCCTCTCTTTTAGCCATTTTCTGTCTCCAAATCTCTTTTATCACTTGGCATCTACGGTGCAGTATGTGACAAGATTATAAAGACAATTATGATTTTCTGAGCTCAATTCCTTCCTGAGCCCTCTTTCCTAAGAGATTTGTTTTTAAAGGGTGTGGACCACTTTTTGTGGTTCTAGCCTTTGGTTCAATACATGTTTTTGGAACTTACTGTGTTGTGCATGCATGTGAATTAAGTAACCATGCAACTTAAGCCATGTTGTAGGTACAGTGTAGAGGTGGAGAAACTGTGTAGACTATACACTGTATGATTCCAACTGTATGCTGTAATGGAAAAGGCAAAACTACAGAGTCAATAAAAAAAATCAGTGTTTGCCAGGGGCTGGTGAAAGGGGATAAATTGGTGGAGTACAGAGGATGTTTAGGGCATGAAACTCCTCCATGTGATACTCTAATGGTGGGAACGTGTCAACACACATTTGTCCGAACACTTAGAATGCTCAACATCAAGAGTGAATGCTGATGTAAGCTGTGAACTCGGGGTGAGGCTGCTGTCTGTGTAGGGTCATCAAGGAAAGCAGACGTACCTCTCCGGTGAAGGGTGCTGGTTGTGGGGTTCGCTATGCATGGCAGGAGAGGTATTGGAGATTTCTCTAACTCTAGTTTTGCTGTGAATCTAAAGCTGCTGTGAAACACAGTCTATGAGCAAAGCAGGTGTGTGTATTTGTTACTTACCCAATAGTTCTCTCTAGTCATTGGCCCAGGGGAGAGGTGCGAAGGGCGGGCCTGAAGAAGGGCCTTACGGCTCCTGCTAGGTGCCAGTAGTGCCGACTGTGTGAGAGCCTTTGAAGGGGAAATTGATAGGAGGTGGAGAACAGCTCTCCATCGCACTCCTTCTCAGCCTAAAGACAACCTCAGTGGGGAATGTCTAGAAGATGCTTTCATGTTCTGGAGCCAGAGCTGGACGGGCAGGGCAGTGACCTTTCAGGTGACACCTGTGTGCATCGTGACCGTTGTCATCAGACGAGATGCCGGTAAGCTCTCCTGAGGCTTGGAAACAGGGTTGTATCCCTCCCCAGTCTCTCAGGGGCAGTGCTTCAGATGGTGGCTTAGGCTGCGGTACATAGGCCTGCAGGAAGGGCTTTTCTCTGGGTTTCTTTAGAAGCGCTGGGTCAGGCCTGTGCCTCCCTCGACTGGAGGGTCCTGTTGAAGACACACTGACTTCTCACATCATGTCAGTCCCCTTAGATCTGTCACCCAGCCACACCCCTGCCATGCCAGATGATGTTCATACACTCAGCTTTGTGTGGGACAGGAAGAGGTGTCCGGGCATTTTCCTGAGCAGGGAATTGAGAGCCAATGTAATGGCGCAATGGGTTAAGTCTCTGCATCCTGCAGCAGAGCGCTGGCTTGAGTCCTGGCTACTTTGCATCTGATCCAGCTTCCTGCTAATGTGCTGGGGAAAGCAGCAGAGGATGGTCCAAGTGCTTGGATGCCACCCACATCGGAGACCTGGCATCAGCATGGCCTAGCCTGGCTATTGTGGCTGTTTGGGGAGTGAAAAAGCAGATGAAAGATCCTCTCTCTCTCTCTCTCAAATAAATAAATAATTTTTTAAAAAAAAGCTGAAATGATTAAAGAGGATGATGGGATAAATATTCAAATACACGCAAGAAATTAAAAATCGAATTATGTTTCTGCATCTTCTCTGGAAAGAGGGAAAGGTAAAACTAAGCCCTACAAGAACTTCTAATCACTTTATTCCTGCTGCACAGCCACAGCATCCTTTTTTTTTTTTTAAGATTTATTTGAAAGTCAGTTACACAGAGAGAGAAGGAGAGGCAGAGAGAGAGAGAGAGGTCGAGTGAAAGAGGTCTTCCATCTGCTGGTTCACTCCCCAATTGGCTACAATGGCCAGAGCTGTGCCAATCAGAAGCCAGGAGCCAGGAGCTTCTTCCGGGTCTCCCATGCAGGTGCAGGGGCCCAAGGACTTGGGCCATCTTCCACTGCTTTCCCAGGCCATAGCAGAGAGCTGGATCGGAAGTAGAGCAGCCAGGACTTGAACTGGCACCCATATGGGATGCTGGCACTGCAGGCAGAGGCTTTACCGGCTATGCCACAGCGCTGGCCCCACATACCACCCTCTTATATGTCCCTATGAGCCCGCTCGTTTTAAGGCCTTGCAATCATTGGAAAAAACACTTTGGGGAGAGGCAGCCACATCGATGGTAGAACATGGGGCAGAGACCCTAATCGCCAGTCTCACCCTTACTAAGCTACTTTCTTCCATGGGCCTCTCAATCCAGCCCTGAAATATGGAAAAGAGTGCTAGCCATGGTTGACTGTAAAACATTAATTAACCTCAAGTTAGCATGCCATACTTCAAAATTAGATGAATTATCACAATATTTTCCCAAACCTCTTTATTTTTAAAGAGAAGAGTTTTTGTTGGAAGCACCTGTGATTTGGTAAAGGGGTTGAGAATTATTTGTGGTATTTTGGGCAGATGAGGTCCTTCTATTTTTTTTAAAAAAGATTTATTTACTAGGGCTGGCACTGTGGCACGGTAGGTTAATCTTCCGCCTGCAGCACCAGCATCTCATATGGGTGCTGATTCTAGTCTTGGCTGCTCCTCTTCCAATCCAGCTCTCTGCTATGGCCTGGGAAAGCAGTAGAAAATGGCCCAAGTACTTGGGCCCTTGCACCTGCATGGGAGACCTTGAGGAAGCTCCTGGCTCCTGGCTTTGGATGGATGTAGATCCGGCCGTTGCGGCCATTTGGAGAGTGAACCAGCAGATAGAAGACCCCTCTCTGTCTCTCCCTCTCTGTCTGTAACTCTACCTCTCAAATAAAAAGAAATTTTTTTTAAAAAATTATTTACTTATTTGAAAGAGAGAGGAAGAGAAAGCTCAAGACCTTCTATCCACTTGTTCATTCCCCTGGTGTTGGCAATTTGGAGCTGGGCCAGACCAAAGCCAGGAGACAAGAGCTTTATCCAGGTCTCTCACTTGGGTGCAGGGGCCCAAGCACTTGGTCCATCTTCCCCTGCTCTTCCCAGGCCATTAGCAGGGAACTGGATCAGAAGTGGAGCACCCGGGACTTGGACCAACGCCCATACTGGATGCTGGCGTCCCTGGCAGTGGCTTTCCCAGCTAAGCCGCAACACTGGCTCTCTTTCCATCTTTTAAGTATCCAGCCTTCCACTGTCCAGGTACCCCAGAGATCTCAGAAGCAGGATTATTTTGGGAGATCGATGCAACTCTTGGCTAAAAGTATTCATAATCTTCCCCGCAGTGCCCCCAGATCAGGTTCTCCAGAAAAGTGAAGAAGCCATTTGCCTCCTGGCAGCCCACAGGGGACGTCTGACAGGAGAGGAAGGCGTTATCCCTGACCGAGCAGAAAATCCCTTCTCTCTCCAGGGGCAGGGCCGCTTCTGGAATGGTGCAGAGGCTTTTCCCAAAGCATTGGTTAAATATCCCCGGATGCTTTTCCTAGGCACCAGGGGAGGCTGGGAGGAACAGATGCTCTGAGGCTCAGGTTGACCTGGTTTCCCAGGAATTCTGCACAGCCCTGCTTTGTTCTGGCTTCCTGGAGGAAAGCCAGTCCTCTAGCTGGAGCAGAACCATCTCATGTGTGACACTGCGGACCAGAGTAAAGTCTAGGAGGGGAGAGGACCATCTTTTATTTACTTATTTGAAAGGTAGATTGACAAGGGGCAGCAGGCAGGGTCGGGGAGAGACAGGGAGTAAGAGAGAGATCTTCCAACGCTGGTTCACTTTTGCAAATGTTTGCAACAGCCAGGGTTGGGCCAGGTCAAAGCTGGGAGTCCTGGGCTCCATCTGGGTCTCCCACATGCGTGGCAGGGGCACAAGCATGTGGGTCATCCTCTGCTTTTCCTAGGACTGCCAGCGGAAGCTGGCTGGGAAGCTGAGCAGCCGGGACTTGAACCAGCACTCTGGTTTGGGATGCAAGAGCAGCTTAACCTGCTGCACCACGACACCGACTCCAGCACCACCTCTTATTGACCCCCCCCCCCCACACACACACTGGGCACCAAGCTCCGTACTCAGTATGGCTCCACTTTAGACCTCACTACAGTTTGTGGAGGATTACTGTTGGCCCCAGACTTCCAACCAAACTTGATTCTCTCCCAAAACATTCTTTCCCCAACACTAGTACGGTGGTTAGGTCTGGCAAGGGGTCCACCCTGCTAAACCTCAATTTCCTCAACTGTGAAACGAGGGCTATTGTAGAAGCCACTCCAGAGGGGTGTATGAGGGACAGATATTAATGATTATTGTTCTTAGACTACCCCAGGAAGCATCACAGCTCTGAAGAGGCGTTGGACTAGGAGTTGGTAGACATAATGCATGAATTGGGATACAGACTAGGCTACTGTCTTCACTTTTTTAAAAAACGTGTTTATTTACATTTTATTTGAAAGGCGGAAAGAGAGAGAGAGAGAGAGAGAGAGAGAGAGAGAGAGAGAGAGACCTTCCATCCACTGGTTTAGTTCCCAAATGCCCAAACAGCCAGGGCCAGGTCAGCCAAAAGCCAGGAGGCTAGAACTCAATCAGGGTCTCCCACATAAGTGGCAGGGACCCAAGTTGTTGAGCCATCACCTGCTGCCTCCCAGCATGTGCAGTTCTGGGAAGCTGGATCAGAAGCTTGGACTCGGGGCCGGCGCTGTGAGGTAGCAGGTGAAGCTTCCTCCTGCAGTGCCGGCATCCCGTGTGAACGCCAATTCGAGTCCTGGCTGCTCCACTTCTGATCTGGCCCCCTGGTAATGGCAGTGGAAGATGGCCCAAGTGCTTGGGCCCCTGAACTCATGTGGGAGACCAGAAGGAAGCTCCTGGCTTTGGATCAGCCCAGGTCTTTGGATCGACCCAGCTTTGGCTGTTGTGGTCATTTGGGGAGTGAACCAGTGGATGGAAGACGTCTGTCTCTGTCGCTCTTTCTCTCTCTCTGTAACTCAGCATCTGAAATAAATAAATAAACCTTACAAAAAAGAAGCTTGGACTCAAACCAGGCCCTCTGATCTGGGATGTGAGCGCTGCAAGCAGCGACTTAGCTGCCATGTCACGTGCCCATCTCTAGAGCCTTGTTGTGCTCCTGCCCTGGAGTCGGGCCTGGACTTTGATCGTTTTCCTAGTACAAAGAATGAGGTGGAGGTGAGACCGGGCCATGAAAATACACTGCATGTTCCTTCTTGGTCAGTCTTTCTCCTCTCTCTTTCGTCACTAGCTCCAGGGAAAGGCAGGGGTCATGTCCTAAACACGTGTGTGTGGACAAGTCCAGGGAAAGTAACTGAGGGCTCCGAGAACAGCCCTGGGAGCTTGGGAGAGGATAGTCTCGCACTACTCAGGTACCTGGATGAT